TTGACTGGCCAGCAAACTCACCAGACCTGAACCCCATAGAGAATCTATGGGGTATTGTCAAGAGGAAAATGAGAAACAAGAGACCAAATAATGCAGATGAGCTGAAGGCCACTGTCAAAGAAACTTGGGCTTCCATACCACCTCAGCAGTGCCACAAACTGATCACCTCCATGCCACGCCGAATTGAGGCAGTAATTAAAGCAAAAGGAGCCCCTACCAAGTATTGAGTACATGTACAGTAAATGAACAAACTTTCCAGAAGGCCAACAATTCACTAAAATGTTTTTTTTTATTGGTCTTATGAAGTATTCTAATTTGTTGAGATTAACACAACGCACTGGATAGCTGGCCAATCAGAGCACACCTCACTTTTCAGACTTTGTAAAAATGAGCTTTGTAAAAATCGACGCGTTTCAGAAAGGCGGGGCATAGAGGACAAACAATAAAGTACAGTATGTGGAAAATAATGTTTATTTTTTACCTTAAACCACAAACACATTTCATTACACCAAATACACAAAATAATGTTCTTTTTAGCAACATCATATGACCCCTTTAAACGTCTTTAGCGACCCGGAACTTCATTGACTACCCTCCCTTTCATTTATTTAATTAAAGTCAGACATCAACCTTCTTAATATTCCTCAGTGTATTTATTATAAACAATATAACAACAAATATTATAAAAGAATGTCTGTTGAGATCATGAATGGGCATGACGCCTCTGCCCTTACCTACAGGCCATGGCAAGAGGTGCTCACCGAAAGCTGCTCTCCATCACTAAATCTCTCTATACACACACAGACACACACATGCCCAGTGGCACATGCTCTAATCTAAACCTCTGGCAACAAATCACATGAGTGCATTTGAAAATCATCACCGGCCTTTCCCATAAAGAACACCAATAAAAATAAACGTTCCCTCAATGGAAACATTTCAAGCTCATATGTAAAGTGCTGGCAGGCGAGTACATTACGTGATTTTAGCGTATTTGCCATTGATGTTGCTGTGGGAAAGGGAGAAATGAAGATGGAGAGAGATGGAGGTCTGAAAATGTGCATTAACCTTCGACAAACACACTTCAGTATGGAGTGTTATGGAGCATTTGTGGCATAATGTTGTTTCCTTTAAGAATATGCTCATTTCAATGCTTCCTTTGGGTTTAAAAATAAATAAACCATTTAAAATGTTGGTTATAGTAAAGCATTGATTATAGAAGTAAAAGGTCCTGAAGGATTAAAGCCAAAAATGTGCATCTTAAATATTTCTAAAGCACCTAAATTCTTTTTTTCCCCCGTACAAAATGATGTTGCAATGCCTGATCAAACAAAAATGTATAGGCTAATATGAATAAAATATAGACATATTAAACAGGCTAATTGGCTAGCAGCATGCTAAGCTAGCATTCTGAGTGGTTAGCTTGCAAAGTGCAAAACAAAAAGAAGAATGAGGTCGACGTCGATGGCCTCGTGGGCAGCGCGCCGACATACAGCAACATTGCACTTCGGGTGTCACGAGTTCGAGTCCCGGGCATATATACATACACTGCTGCTCAAAAGTTTGGGATCAGCAAGATTTTGAAAAGAAAAGTTAAAAAGAACAGCATTTATTTAAAATAGAAATCTTTTGTAACAATAGAAGTCTTTACTATCCCTTTTCTATCAATTTAGCACATCCTTGCTGAATAAAAGTATTACATTTCAAAAAGAAAAACATTTACTGACCCCAACATTTTTAACAGTAGTGTGTATGGTTACAAAAGATTTATATTTTAAATAAATGCTGTTCTTTAAAACTTTTTATTTGTCAAAAAATCTTGACAAAAGTGTCACAGGTTCCAAAAAATATTAAGCAGCACAACTGTTTCCATCATTGATTATGAATGAGCATGTTAGAATGATTTCTGAAGGATCATGTGTGACACTGAAGACTAGAGTAATGATGCTGAAAATTCAGCTTTAAAATCACAGGAATAAATAATATTTTTAAATATATTAAGATAGAAAACCGTTATTTTAAATTGCAATAATATTTCACAATATTACTGTTTTTTTCTGTATTTTTGATCAAATAAATGCAGCCTTGATGAGCAGAAGAATCTTCTTTAAAAAACAATAAAATTCCTACTGATCCCAAACTTTTGAGCAGCAGTGTATATATGCACAATTATTATATATTACCGGTGAATAGTTTGCAGGCTGCATTTACTGAATCAAAAATACAGTAAAAATTATTTTTTATTTTAAATGTAACTTCTCCTTTAATGGCAAAGCTGATCTAATGCTCAGTTATAAACAATTAGCTGATAATTAGTTCTCAGTTATTAATAATGGCTCTTATTATTATCAATGTTGAAAACAGCTTTTGCTGCTTAATTTTTTAACAGTTTTTTCCCCAGATTCTTTGATGAATATAAAGTTCAAAAGAACAGTGTTTATCTGGAATATAAATCTTTTGTAACCTTTTGAATGTCTTTACTGTTACTTTTGATCAATTTAATGCATCCTTGTCAAACAAAAGATCTTTTTTAAGGAGAAAAAAAAAACGTACCCAAATGTTTGCTTAATTTTTTTGTGGAAACCGTAATGTACTACCATTTAGTGAATCACCATTTAGCAGTACATTTTCAGTCAGACCACATCAACCTCTTTCAAGAACATAATTTAATGGAAAGCGATTAAAAGAACCCAGTGGGTGATCTAGATCTGTAAATATGATGGCGACTAATGCCTTGGAAAAAAATATAAATTACACTTGAACCCATCTAGCTATGACAGCCATTTAAAAAGAGAGCAAGTAAACCTACAGTGTGCGTGAGGTCGTCTGACAGGCAGCATGACATACAAAGTATTTCACAACAGTGTATGGAGCAGACGCACATGTTTATTTTCAGTCGTTCAAATGGCATTGGAGGTCTATATTCACCTTTAAGTGCACTTGAACAATGACAGAATGATCAAATATGTATAATGTGCGACTGGAATCAAGTAGACGTGAGGTGAAGAAGAACTAAAGCATTTGTTCTGATGGACCTATATATAGCTTATTAAACACGTCTTTTTTTTTTGCCACAATAATCACACAGCATTGAATGAAGACACCAGCATGCCATGATGAAGAGCTTGATCACCACCAATCACTCCAGCAAAGCAATTAAAGAGTCAGCACAAAGCATTTTACTGTAATTACATCACACAAATCGACTCGGACAAGAGAGCACATACAGGGCCACATGCGAAATCAAATGCATTGGCAGCAGCTTTACAGTGACAGCTAGAGAGGCATCGGATCTCTGGCAAATAATAATAATAAATGTCTAAGCCTCACTCATGATTCCATTATGATTTAGGCTTTATGGGCTTTTTCCCCATAAGAGCTTCAAAACAAATTCATCCCTTTAGGCTTCAGCATCAATTCACCACCAATTCAATTTAGAATCATCTTAGCACGACCTTCGATGATATTATTTCAGAGAACATAAACAAAAAGTATATATCTTGTTCCGAGCTCACATATATGTACATACTAGTTGTGTGATAAATAACTCTCAAAAACCTTCAGCCAGTGGGGGTTTTTAAAGTCAGTGTAAAGGCAGTTCAGAGAATTCTTTCTAAACACATTATAAATGTTAGAAATGTATAACTGGAAACACGTTACAAAGACTTTGAACTATGTAGTACTGAATTGTGGAGTTAGACAGTTAAACAAATTTTCACCATTTTTGTGTTCAGATTTTTTTTGATAAGTTATTTTTATTTACTTGCCGTTTTTTTTTTTTTATCATTCAAATTTGGCTGGGTGGTTAATAATTTTTTTTTCTGTGGTGTGACCAACTCCGAAGACATTTGATATTGCGTTACACTGACTTTAAAAACATTTTTGTCAGGCAGTCAGGATGTGTGTGCATGTTAGAGAGACATTCACAAAACAAGCATGAAAAATATTGTTCGCTGGAGTGTTAGAACAGCTTCACCGTCCATAAAGATAGCGTGCATGAGTCAGATGTGGGCTGCTTTCAAAATGTCCTCTTATGTCCACAAAGAATAACATGAGAGACTTCGCAAACGTTCGTATTTACCTTTTCATAAAATAACCCACAAAATCCATATTTCTGCAGGAATAGGAAATTCATATCAAGCAAAATCATAGTCCACTAGCTGTGACTGTACACACATTTTACACAAACACTGAAAGATGTTTGTAGACAGATCACTTGAATCAGCATGAGCATCACGACTCGGTGTCAGACTGTGCTAAACGCTAGGCCCTGACTCCACCAGCATGTGTAGTCAGAATTTTGAAGTTCTAAACATACTTTTTATATAGTTTAGGTATTCTAAACGCATGTTATCTTTACAAATGCATTTTGCCAGTCAGCTTAAAGAGCGGTTGTTTTTAAACAGCCTTTATTTCTAAACACATCCACCATATTTAATCTAAGCCAGTGGTTCTCAATTCCAGTCCCACTGCTCAGCACTTTTTCTATGTCTCTCATATCTGATGCCCTTGGTTCAGTTCATGAATCCCCCTCCTAATGAGCTGATGATCGGAATCTAGTGCGTTAAATAAGGACGACATACCAAATATGCAGAGCAGTGGTACCCCAGGACTGAAATTGAGAACCACTGATCTAAACAAATTAAGTGATAAGCACTTGTACTGTGAAAATACATTATGTAATGAATTAAAAGCATGTAGTTGGTGGCCTAAAGTAGTTGGTTAACACTTCAACATGTTTATGCGTGTTACATGCATACATTACATTACATTACCCAGCCCTGATTTTGTGACACAACACAACAATTTTTTGAACCAAAATGGCTGCCGCTTTTCCTGTCATCAAAATCATGGCCTCCTACCATTAGCATGAAATCATTAGCAGTCCAAAAAGTGTTGAAAACAACACTGTTTTCAGTGATGACAGTAAACATGCTATGCTCAGCAAATCGTATCAAGCACAGTAAACAACAGCTTATGAATGTTAAAGTAGGACTTACCAGCTTTTAAACATGGCTCCACTAAAAACTAACATGATGTCACTTCCTCCTGATCATGTAATTTAAAGTGACAGTTTGCTATTATTTTGAAGTGAATAAACCCTAATATACTGCACACACACACACACACACACACACACACACATATCATATATATATAATATTCATAAATATCTGTAGATATCCATCTATATTGCAAATGACCATCAGTCTCTATCTCTTCTATCTCTTTTTTCACAAGTTCACAATTTTTATCTTTAAAGCGGTCATATGATGCGATTTCAATTTTTCTTTTCTCTTTGGAGTGTTACAAGCTCTTGGTGCATAAAGAAGATCTGTAAAGTTGCAAAGACTAAAGTCTCAAATCCAAAGAGATATTCTTTATAAAAGTTAAGAGTCAGCCATGCCTACCTAAAACGGCTCATTCTAACACGCCCCCACATGTCTACATCATGATGTGGGAAGCGTTGCATAACGCCGCCCAAATGTTCACGCAAAGAAAGAAGGCGTAACTTTTATTCTCGCTGTAGTATTGTTGTTGCCGCCGCCGCCATGTCGTGAAGGCGCTGTGTGTTTCGTTGTGAAAGCGAAACTACTTTGTTTGGTCTTCCAAAAGAGGACGATATCCGCTTCGTCATGCCTGGAGCTGATCTGTGCTGGTCGCTGAGGAAATACTTCAACTTCGCGCTGTGGATCGCCAGATCGGCTTTCACTGTGGACGATGTGGAGTCCAGCCCGGAGTCGTCCCATGTGGTTGCCTCGGGCATCACAATATGGTAAGGGGCGTAACATTTCCGTCACACGCTTGAGGAATTCGGCCAATCACAATGCACTGGATAGCTGGCCAATCAGAGCACACCTCGCTTTTTCAGACCGATGAGCTTTGTAAAAATCGACGCGTTTCAGAGGCGGGGCATAGAGGAGAAACAATAAAGTACAGTATGTGGAAATTAATGTTTTTTTTTACCTTAAACCGCATAAACACATTTCATTACACCAAATACACCAAATAATGTTCTTTTTAGCAACATCATATGACCCCTTTAACAACTCCATCAGTATTCTTTTGCTGCCTTGCACCATTTATATTTCCTTTAGAAAATGCCAATCTGTTATGCACATGCATAATGAAATCTTTTCCCAATAGTGTCATCTCACACAATTGATTTCAAAACCTCCCTTAATTCTAAATGACAAACACATTCTAAAATCTAAGACAAAAGGAACAAATCTATTAAAATTATGCTGATTGCCATGCCACTATAAACCTGACGTGGGAAGCACAATTCACAGGTAAGCCTAAATAACGACCCTTCTTCAGGGCTTCACATAAATTAACATCAACTCCCAAAGATGCAGGTCTCTCCTCCCAGCTGCTAAAACATCAGCGAGCAGTCAGACAGTGTAGAGATATCTGTTTTGACTGGTTTTCAGGAAACACCTCTCCATGCCCCCCATTACCCCACAGACATTTAAATCACCTAGCATGTGGCAATCTGAACACAGCCAGCAACAGATGTTTGTTTGTTTTTTTCAGAAGGGATAAAATGTGATTGTGTTAGCAATAAGTGCTCAGCTCTCCATACAACACACAGGTGGTGAGAGTCAACGTGGAAGTCGGTCAAGATCAGTAATCTCTTAGAAACCTGTTTCTATTTTGTATTAGTATTTCATTGCGAAGAAATTGTGTACAAATGAAAAATCATCATATGCAGGACAGTTCATTTGTTTATTAGGCTACTGTATACATTATTGTCATCCATGTTGGTAACAAAACAACAGTACAGTATATACTGTATAAACATAGTCAACACATTAGCATGATTGTATTGAAAGGCAAGACAGAGAATACAAGACAGATATTTTTTTTTTGGTTTCTGTTTGGTGCCTCTATGAACTCTGTTCTGTTCTAGGATGTTGTCTTCGTCTTGTGAATTAATCTGCACTGTGTATTTCCACACAAGATTGCTCACAGCTTCCGTTCCGTACTGAAAATCAATGGACATGCAGATGGACTCCAGTTGAAACGCTGCCCATTCCTATAACGCTGATTGAAGAAATCTCGACCACATTTTCTGAGTCTGACTTCTGCCTGGAATATTTTTTGGTCTGTGTGGCTGAAAGGGTTGAGACATTAGATTGCAGCACAGGTTCTCAGATGGAAATGTGAGTGGTGCCTGCCTGTGCAAAACTTACTGCCAACATGCTAAGGTGTTCTGGGTGGTTGCCATGGCATTGCTATGTGGTTGCTAAGGTGTTCAGAGTGGCTTCTTGCTGCTCTAAATCTAAAAACCTGCCCCTAAATATATAATATTCTGGTCTCTTGACAAGACTCTTTAAATGCAAGTTTAAGAGATTTCATTTCTCTTTCTCTAAGAACCTATTTTATCGTCCTCCATGTGAAATTACTAAATCTGATCACAAAGAAACATTTTAGCTCCCCTCTCCTCAACACAATTGAAAACTTTTTAAAAATCTACCATTTCAAATCCTAGCAAAGCACTGAGAGAGCGTTACTCATGTGTCGCTCTAGCAGGAAAGAGCTAGGCTGTTAGTTTAAGATACATCTGATACAGTATAGATTACATAGTGTTTTTCAGCTAAATCAATATTAGGAAAAGAGATTGGATATAAAAAAAAACAACACAAGCTCAGCTTGCTTAGACACAGCAAAATGTTAGTTTTTCCCTTAAGTAGAGCGTTACTCATGTGTCGCTCTAGCAGGAAAGAGCTAGGCTGTTAGTTTAAGATACATCTGATACAGTATAGATTACATAGTGTTTTTCAGCTAAATCAATATTAGGAAAAGAGATTGGATATAAAAAAAACAACACAAGCTCAGCTTGCTTAGACACAGCAAAATGTTAGTTTTTCCCTTAAGTATATGAGTAAGAACATTTTGATTGCTAATGCTATGGATGCTGACTCCCTTAATTTAATGCCACACTGCTCCCAGCGTTCGTATTACAGGAATATGAGCATGAACAGGAAGAGATCTTCACAAAAAGAAATGTGTTGATGTTTAAGTAAATGGGTTTGGCTCAGCACAACCTTTGGCAGAACTCCAGTTAAACCTTCCGTTTCAGAAACGGGAATTTACAAGTCATTTGATTTGGAAGTTAAATGACACAAAAATGAAAATTCTGTCATTATGTACCCTTATGTCATTCCAAATCTGTACAACTTTATTTTGTGGAACAAAAGTGTGAATTTTAATGTATATTCTGGTCACTCTTTTCAGTGTAATGAAAGTGAATGAGGACTTGGTCTGTTAAAGGAACACTCCACTATTTTTGAAAATAGGCTCATTTTCCTTCTCCCCTAGAGTTAAACAGTTGAGTTTTACCATTTTCTAATCCATTCAGCCGATCTCCAGGTCTGGCGGTAGCACTTTTAGGTTAGCTTAGCATAGATCATTGAATCTGATTAGACCGTTAGCATCTCACTCAAAAATGACCAAAGAGTTTCTATATTTTTCCTATTTAAAACTTGACTATTCTGTAGTTACATCGTGTACTAAGACCGACGGAAAATGAAAAGTTGCGATTTTCTAGGCCGATATGGCTAGGAACTATACTCTCATTCCAGTGTAATAATCAAGGAACTTTGCTGCCATACCATGGGTGCAGCAGGCGCAATGATATTACGCAGCGCCTGAAAATAGGCTTATTGGAAGATACCTAGCTGGGACTATTTTCAGGCGTAATAAGTCCGTCGGTCTTAGTACACGATGTAACTACAGAATAGTCAAGTTTTAAATAGGAAAAATATAGAAACTCTTTGGTCATTTTTGAGTGAGATGCTAACGGTCTAATCAGATTCAATGATCTATGCTAAGCTAAGCTAAGCTAAAAGTGCTTCCGCCAGACCCGGAGATCGGCTGAATGGATTAGAAAACGGTAAAACTCAACTGTTTAACTCTAGGGGAGTTGGAAAATGAGCCTATTTTCAAAAATAGTGGAGTGTTCCTTTAAGCTTCAAAACAATAAAAAAGATATAAATAGTCCAAATGATCTGTGTTCTATGTTCTACAATCCAAATACATACTAAAGCTCTGTGTAAGGAATAGACAATACTTTAAATCTTGACAACCCAAGTTTATGTGACAAGTGACAACATCTAATTTGAGAACAAATCATTATTTGCATCTAATATTTTTAATGAATCATTTCACAAAACTGATTTTAGTGATTAATTCATGAATTGGTCTCCAATTCTTATTTAACTCAGACAGAGTCGGTCATTTAATCACCGTGGTTAACAATTCTCAAGTCCCACAAGTCTTCACTCAAAGTAAACCTTTGACTTGAGAAATGCACAAGTCATACAGTATGGACCACTTGTATGGGTGCTTTTGAAACTTGAAAATTCATTGTTAGTGCATTAAAAAGAGGGACCTATACATTTCTTTAGTATTTTTCCATTTGAGAATGAGGACTGGGCCTGTTAAGTATGTTTTTAAAAAAGTGTCTAAACAGAGAAGTAGCAACATCCAATTTGTGAATGCACTGTTAAAGTCTGATATTTTCAATGAATTAGTTGATTCAGTTCACAAGACTGGTCTGAATGATTTCTATATGAATTGGTCTCATCCACTTAAAGTTCAACTCACAACATCATTCAATCACTGTGGTTAACAACTCTCGTCTCACAAGTCTTTGCACAAAGTTATTGCTTGACTTCAGACATGCAATGGACCACTTTGTATGGTACTTTTTGAAGCTTGAAAGTTAATTGTAATTGCATTAAAAGGAATGTTTCTCTTTTGTGCTCTTGGGCTAAATGGTGCCAATTAAAGTCGCCTTGCCCTCTTAGCATTGTCTAATGTTCAAGAGTGGAGCCTTTCCGTGTAGTGTTTACATGCTTGTGTGCAACAATGAAAGACAGTATTGTTGTTTAAGAGATAGATGTTACCAAGCACAACTATCTAACGAAATCGCTCAGCCGTTCATTTAAGTCAATTTAATGCCTGGAGATTCAGGTGTGAGCGACTGGTTTTAAATTTGCTGCCTGTCTTCTCACGGCTGAAGGGTAATACCTCGAAGACATTTCTT